CGTGGAGGCTCCATGAGCAGGGGTGGAAGGGCAAGATGCTCTAGGAGGAGAGGCCCTGAAAGACAGGGGTCCAGGAGCCCAGGTTACTGCACAACTTTGATATTCTTATCCTCTTATCGCCTGGGGCAGCCACTTCCCCTCCACCCAAGGTCTGAAGCACTGGTGGTCTCTTAAAGGAGCATTGTCCCCTTTCTGGCCAGCTGGCCCTATGAGGCTGTCTTCCTCACCACTTTCTCTCCAGACCTAAGGGGGTGGAGGGCTTTGTTCCCCTTTTCTGTGTCCCATTTTAGAGACCCAGGAATAGGACAACTTTCCTGATTGAGCGTCAACCTTCCTGGAGGGACAGAGGTGGTGTCATCTCCCTCCCCGCTGGCCACACCAGTCCTCCTAGGGGCCCTGAATCTAGGAGTACCCTGAGGTCTGTATGGACCTGTCCCCAAATGAGGGGGACCAAGAGAAGAGGCCCCTGGTTTTCTGGGAAGGAGTCACTGGGTGGTTGTCACTCTCTCCTTCCTACTCCAAATCCACTCCTCCTGATTCCAGAGCCAAGCCCACCGAGAGGTTTGGAGAAACCTGGGGAAAATTTGTGGCCCAGACTCAGCCTACCCAGTCCCCCTGCCCAGACCCACACCCTGCTCCCCTCCCCCACCTGGGGCCCTAGGCTGGGCAGCTTCCTGCCTTCCCCATGGGGAAAGCGGGGGTGGCATGCAGGTGGGCGGGCCCCGTGCCCACATCCGGTGGCCGCCAGAACCTCTCCTCAGAGCCTCCTTTCCTGCACTCCTCCACGCCCCTGTCTCTCCTGCCCTCATGCACCTATGCCCTGCCGTAGGATCCTGGCCCTCACCACTGCTCTGCACTGCCCTCCTGTTCCTACAGGCCTCGAGGGAAGCGTGGACACCCAGCCTAGTGCCAACAGGCCCACCGGGCCTGACTGTGACCCCCCCCTGTGCTGACGGGCCAGGCCTGGTCCTCTGCAGCCTGAGGCTGGGGAAGGGGTGACTCTGTGGGGTGCTGGGGACAACTGACTACGTGAAGGGTGTTGTGGCGTGCTGGCCCCAGCCCCCTTCATCCATCGGCACCTCCGTAGCCTCTCTGGAGCGCATGTAGGGAACCAAGGCTTGGTCTGAATGTCCGGAAGGGAAGGGAGTTTCTGGGCTGAGGTCAGCAGAGGCTCAGAGAGAAGGTCCTTTTCTTGTGCTGGAATTCTGGACTCCCTGTTTTAGGCACTCGCCGAAGGCCTTGTCCGGGAGCCCCTGCTTCCTGGAGTCACCCCCAAGGCCCTGAGTCAGTCTCATACTCTTGAGCCATCCCCTCTAGCAGGTGCCATGGGGGGAAGGGCAGGCTTGGGGTCCCGGAAGCCACCTGCCCAGGGTGTGAGAGATGGTCTCTTCAGCCCCCCTCCCGCCAATACCCAGCCTTGTCTCTGGTTTCCTGTCAGTCTGTCCTCCCCAGGGAGGGGAGGGGCGCACTAATCTCCACTGCGGTCCGGGGGCGGGCTCCAAGACCGTTGGGCGCCCTGAGATCTGGCCCACGTGTCCTCGGGGTTATAAGCCCTGCCCGCCCTGAAGGGAACCCCACTTCGGAACCTGGAGCACAGGGCTTGCTCTCCTCAGCCTGGCAACGTCAGGTAAGGGCCTGGACTTTCACTTCAGCCCCAACCTGGGCTCCCTGACTCTGGGCCTCAAGGAGCTACAAGGGGGTTGGGCTGCAGTCTCTGGGTGGAGGTGTCTGGGGGTGGTCAGGAACTTGGGTGCCAAGGCTTACAAGCAAAGCTCAAGGCACAGTGGTGCAATAACCCTCAGATCTATCTGCCTTCATGGTGGGACAGCTCAAAATCCTCTCTAGTCGAGGAAAAATGGCTCCCGGCACCCAGATGAAGAAAGAACTGTCTACGGCTCTGAGGGAGGAGGGCTGGAGAGTAGGGTGGGGATGGCGGAGGGTGAGCAGAGGCCGAAAAGTGAAACTGGTGTCAGTGAGGAGTGCCAAATGTCTTCCTCCGCGCAACGTGGCCACCATTTCTGTCGGGATAGTCTTGGGTCCCTGCCCGGGGAAGCGCGGGGCAGTAAGGGAGTCAGGGCCTCCCCTTGGCGAGGAGGGTGGGGACTGAGGCCCTGGGGAGTCAGGACCTTGAGCCGGTGGGGAGGCTGGGGGCTGAGGCTTAGACGGGCCGCTCAGGGGGCCGAGGCCTTGGTGGGGTACTGTGGCTGTCTCATTTGGATTCTGGGGGGTGGCTGGGAGGGCCCAGCCGGGGGGTCACAGAACTGGGTGAGGCCTTTAGAGGCCATGGTCTCTACCTGAGTGTCCCTGAATGTGGGGGGATGGGTGGAGCCTTAAGGGGGAAGGGAAGAGGGAACCAAAGAGGAAGTAGGGGGAGGGAGGTAGAGAAGGCAAGTCTGGCGCCATGCTGAGTCACCGCCCACAAGGCCCAGGGCGGGCCCTCTGGGGGCCACGGTAGGGTGGAGGGGTCTTAGGAAGCCACAGGGAGGGCTGGGGGGCTCTCGAAGCTGGAGTAGGAGGAGCAGGCAGCCCGAAGAGCGCACGCGGACAGACAGACAGACAGTGCAGTCACCCATAAAGTAGAAAGCACTACTAACAGCACTGGAGGGTGTAGTGTTTCCTACTTTATGGATGAGTGTACTGTGGGCTTCGGAGACCACGCCACCGCTGCCACCATCCGCCGCCCGCACCATCTTCCTCAACGCCAGGACTGTGTGACAGGTGAGCACCTCACGCGCTCCTCACTATGCGGCACAGCCCCGAAAGGCCTCCGCTGCCCCCCAAAGGGCTGCCCTTTCTAGTTCTGCGCACCCGGGAAAGGCCACAGCCATGCCTCTACTGTCTGGGAGGGTGCGGGGAGGACTGGACATGCCGACCCCTGATGCAGCAGCCGCGAGGATGAGGAAGGGGTGGGAAGGGAGGGCGGGTGGAGGGGAACGGGTGGAGGTTCCAGGGACCCCCAACAATAATAAAGAATGAACTCTGCTTCTTTTTTGTCTGAGACTCTGTGCTGGGGTGGGGGCTGACTGGGGGTGGCAGGCACATGGGCGGTGTGGCCCACAGAAGGGCTGGAAGGGAGAACTCGCACTGTCCATAGAGAAATGGGGTTGGCCCGGCCCGTGTGATCAGAAGAGGGCTCTGGGCCTGGCCAGGCTGCAGAGGGAAGGGCCTGGGCCTTCTGCAGAAAGGGGACGGGGCATGGAGGGGCAGATGTGTGAGGGGCCTTCCCACCCTCTACCCTATCTCTGGCCCTCCACTCACTCCCTAAACCCCCAAACTAAAGACTGCCTGCCTCCATTTTTAATCTAGGGAAGTCTAGAGGCGTCCTTGATAGTATCAGAATTGGGCAAAAACACACCATGGCACGCACACACTCAGCATCTTATACATAGACAAGAGCGTGGATACTAATATACAAAGCACACACATGCTGGCATGCATGAACACTTACACACAGGGGCCTACACATGTGTGCTAGTACATACAAGCACATATATACGTGTGACATAGCTGGCATGACACACAAAGATATACACACACCCAGGGCATATACATACTCAATAGCACACACACGCAATGATATAAACATGACATGTCTCATACATAGAAAGGCACACACATTCACACATATCAGCATTCACATAGTAAATACAGTGGGTCCATACAAATACACACATAGTGACACATTCATGTATGATGGTAAATAAAAAATAGGTAGATACATGGTGACACATTTAAACAAATCCATGTCATTACACATATTTACATGACTGTATGAGTGTGTCATTAGGTATTGCATAATACCATATAGTAATATCCATATATGTATATCGTGATGTGTTTTAATTTATAAACTCACAATGAGGGCCTCAAGCACAACAGCACTACACATAGACACTGTGGCAAACAGACACGTATGCAATGATACACTCACAGAGACATGCATGCAAATACACCCAATGAGACAGACAGTATACACATCCACACATCCACATATATATATGTACACAACGCCCCCCCCATATATAGAGTGACTTGCACATACACCCTGACCTAAAACATCAGCAACACACATCATGCAGTGCGTGTGATCTACACACAGCTTTGGGGAAGTGAAGATGCCACCTCCTCCTGCACGCCCCCTCCAGCTCCATTGGCTCTGGCTTGGGTGGAGCCCACAGTCGGGGCTCTGTGGTTCTGTGTCACTGTTGCTATTCTGCCAGGTACCACATGAGGGCCCCCGACCTCAGCTGAGACTGGCTTGTCCGTCAAGTCCCAGGTTCGGTAAAGAGAGGCTGCCTCTCCTGGCCTCTCCCAACACCTCTGTCTGCAGACTCCCTCTAGTTTCCTGTCTCCACACACAGGCTGGCTCATGCCGTGGGAGATAGTTCCCATGTTCTTGTCCTAAAAGGCCATTTTCTCATAGCAACAAGGTCTAAGGCTAAACAGAAGATGAACTTCCAGACAATTCGGGGCAAAGCTGACAGGCATGTTATCTTCCCAGCTGGCCTGGGATGGCCGGACTGCCCCCCAGTGTGGTCTGCCAGGAGGAAGAGGAAGCAATTCTCTGTTTGTTCTACCTCTGCCTCTATCTGCCTGTTTTCATCCTCTTGATTTCTGTCTCTTTGTTTCATCTCAAATCCCATTTTTTCTAGTCCTGCCCTTCTCCATGGCTGGATCTCTATCTGTCATGCTCGCTCCTGTCTCTGTCTCCCCAGTCTCACCTGATGTGGGGAGGACCGTCTGCAGCCACCTTACCTCTGTGCCCCAAAAGGTGTGAGGGCATGTGGGGATGAGGGATGGGAGGACACAAGTGGGGCGCGCTGGGCCGGCATCCCGAGAGAAACCTGCTCTTCCCTCTGTCCCGACCCTGTCAGCCGGTCCAGCCCACCAATCTAGTGCCATCACCATGGAAACCAGCAGCCGGCTTCCTATTGGTGGGCGGGAGGGGAGGAGGAGGGGGAGGAGAGGACTGGCTCTCCCTTGCCCGCCCCCCCATTCTGAGGCTCAGCCCTCCTCGGCGCCCACCATCTCGAGGCTCCCGGACTGTAAGGGACCCCTGCAGTCCCCAGAGCTGAAGCCAGTGGGGGCTGAGACTATGAGGCAAGCAGCCCATCGACCCAGGCCTCCTTAGGACCAGCCCGGCCACCCAGCAAGCAAGAGAACAGAAGCAGAGAGAGGAGCAGGAGATAAAGGACCACAGCGGACCCTTGGGGATCACCCCCCAGCGGCTCCTGAGGACCCCAGCCAGGCGGAGGGGTCATGATGGATGGCCAGACTCACAGACACTGACAGACACATAATGACAGCCATGCACACAGCTGCAAAACACTGACACGCTCAGATACAACCAGTGACAGCATCACACACTGCCACAGCCCTGCAATACAGACACCCACACACACACAGAAACAACTGGTAACTCTAAGGCAGGCAGACAGTGACACACAGCACCACCCCCTCAACACACATAAGTGGGGGTACCCATCCTCCAGACACACGCAAGACAGTGCTGACCCGCACAGACAGACCTGGAGACACACACGCACACCCTCACCCAGGCGCTGCTGTAGGTGGCCTCTGCACATCTTTCCCACCCCCACGGGGACACCCTCGCTCCTCTACATACTCGCGCACACACACAGCCACCAGCAAACACGGCTCACATACCCCTGGCTCCAGCTCCGGCAGCCCCGGCGCATTCTACAGCCTCCTTTGTGGGTGGGGAAGAGCTCAGCCAACCTTGGATGGAGCCTCGGTGAAGCCAAGAACTCAGAGGGGAGAGGGGCCGGCCTGGCATGACCCTCGCTGCCTTCCCCCACTTGACTGGGTGATGTCCCCCGGCCCGGGTTCTGGGGTCCCTTGGCAGTATCATGGAGCAACTGACAACCCTCCCACGGCCTGGGGACTCTGGAGCCATGGAGCCATGGGTACTGCCTGCCTGGCAGAGCTGGACTCCAGGCCGGGGGGGTGAACCTGGGAGTGCAGCCCCAAGAGAGGCTGATACTCCTCCAGCAGCTCTGCAGCTTACAGAACTGAGGCCTGAGGGGTGCTCTCAGCCTGAAGGAGCCCAGAGCCCCAGGCCCATGGGGGACATTCACCCTGAAGGAACAGGGACTGGGCTGCCCAGCCTGGGGCAGCAAGCAGCAAGCTCTGGACCCGGCTGCCCAAGGCTGGAGGATGAGGAGGTGGAGGCTTTCCCTAAGGTAAGGGAGCTGTGGAGGGCTCGGGTCAGCAAGGTGGGGGCCTCTCACCATGTCCTCCAGCCTGGCCAGGAGGCAAGGCAAGCTATGCAACCCCACTGCCCACCTCTCGTCTCTTGACCTGTCTCTGTCTGTGGGTCTGTCTCTGTGGCTATCTGTCCTACCTTCATTGAGCAGGAATCTCAGTGACTCCATTTTTTTTCCCCATTTGTCTGTCCTGACTCTCTCTGCCTGTCTATCTACATCTGGCCCTGCCCCTGACCCTCCCCCGCGCCTCCGTGACTCTCTTTGACTGTCTGTCTGTCTGTGTCTCCTCCTCCATGAGTCTCTGTCTGTCCTTGGTGGCTGGGGGACATAGGGGGTGTGTGGAAGTGTATGGTGGGATCAGAGTCCAGAGGAAGCAGATTCAGGGCAGGGGGCTCAGTGCTGGGCTGAGTGAGGGTCTGGGGTGGGTGTGAGCAGTCTCCTGTAGGAGATGAGGGCTCAGGACTTTGGGGGAGGGCAGGGAACTCACGGGCTATGAGGAGTCAAGAGGGGTGGGAATGGGAGCTCGAACTGGCATTTCCCAGGAGGAGAAGATGGGCAGGGGTAGGAGGGGTCAGGGAACAGCAGGAAAGTCCCAAGGTTGGGGGTGTACTGTGGACAGGGAAGATCGGGCGGTCCCTTCTCCGGTGCCCCTCTCTGAGCCTGGGACGTCAGGGAGAACCTTCTCATCTCTACGTCTCCTCAGACCATGGAGGGGGGATGCCTTCACATGCAGGGCTCTGACCGGGAGGGGTGGATATCTGAGGCACTGCACCCCACCCTTTCTTGTGCCAGGCCACGCTGAACATGGGCTTCGGGGACGGGCCCAATCTGGAGCTGCTGAGGGCCCTGGGGGAGCTGCAGCAGCGCTGTGCCATCCTTAAGGAGGAAAACCAGATGCTGGTGAGGTTTGGAGAGTGGGCCCCTCTGCCTCTGCCCTCCTCACCCCATGAAATCCCTCCAAGTGGGGCTATATGGAGGGGACATAATCCCAAGACCCAGAGAGAGTGAACCCCTGCCTAGAGTTGCTAAGGACCCCACTTGAGGCCAGGGCCCTAACCCAAGGCATGGGCAGTTAGGATTGGGTCTGTGGGATGCTCCCCACATGCCCCAATTCTACCTGACCCCTTGTCAGAGGAAGAGCAGCTTTCCCGAGACGGAGGAGAAGGTGCGGAGGCTGAAGCGGAAGAACGCCGAGCTGGCGGTCATTGCCAAGCGCCTGGAGGAGAGGGCCCGGAAGCTGCAGGAAACAAACCTGAGGGTGGTGAGGACAGGCGGCTACTGGGTGGAGGCTGAGTGGCCAGGGAAGAGGGTAGCCCAGGGCTGGGCCTGAGGGGCTGTTTGGGACTTGGAGTCAGACTCAGCACCCGAGAAAGCGAGACTCTAGAGGCCAAGGTGCAGGAAGGGTAAAGGCTGGCCAGGCCGGGAGGCCGAAGGCCTCTGTAGCTACAGCAGGGAGACAAGGGCTCAATGAGGAGGCTCCCAAGCAGGCAGGGAGCAGGATTCTGGATTACCACGTGCTGGTGCTGGCTGCAGCCTCCCGCTGAGCTCATCTCAGGGTGTAGAGCTGGAGTGGGGGCAGGGTAAGACCCATCACAGTGGCAGCCCCAAATTAGCAGCATCCTTTGGACCTAAAAACTGGGATGTAGAGTTAACCCCTTCAACCCAGCTTGGGAAATGCTGGGATAGGGTGGAGTGAGGCTGCTGATCAGCTGAGATCCCAGACGGGGTGAAAGCAGGAGGCCACCCTTCTAGGATTTCATGCTAACTCCTCCTTTGGCAGGAGGTGAGAAGTGGGAAAAGTGCCCTAGCCCTCGGGTGACCCCTGGTCTTACCCTCCTCTGGCTAGGTGAGTGCCCCCTTGCCCCGACCGGGGGCCAGCTTGGAGTTGTGCCCGAAGGCCTTAGCCCGCCAGCGAGCCCGGGACCTCAGTGAGACAGCCAGTGCACTGCTGGCCAAGGACAAGCAGATCGCTGCCCTGCAGAGGGAGTGCAGGGAGCTGCAGGCCAGGCTCACCCTGGTGGGCAAGGTGCGAGGAGGCCCTGGTCACCCCTTCCAGCTCAGCCCTACACAGGGCCCTCGGCCTGACTGGCGTGGGATGCAGAGATGTTAAGAGATGCAGATGAACCGGGAAGGTGGAGGGTGCTGGGGAGTAGGTTCCCCTGGCAACGGCCCAGGTGGGAGAGGGGAGAAGGGGAGGAGCCTCGAGTCCAGACCTGGGCAGTTCTGCGCTCCAGGCTTGAGGTTGTGTGCCAGAGGGTCTGGCTGTACGGATTCACATATGTGCCTCACCCTGTGTGAAGGGACGTTCGCGAGCATTTAGCACAGTGCCGGGCACAACGCAAGCACCTGTGACACGAGTTACCGAGGATGTCTGCTCACGGGCTGGTGGGAGCATGTGGCTGTAGACGCATGCACATGCAACCAGGCATGTAGGCATGCGTGCACGTTCTCGCGCCTCCGAGCTCCCGGGTGGGCAAGGGTTAGGCCTGACTCCCTTCCCTGTCACCCCACCCCAGGAGGGTCCCCAGTGGCTCCACGTGCGGGACTTCGACCGGCTGCTGCGCGAGTCCCAGCGGGAAGTGCTGCGACTGCAGAGGCAGATCGCCCTGCGCAACCAGCAGGAGCCGCCCCCGCCGTCCCGGCCCCCGGGCCCTGCTGCCCCGGCCAGAGCAGGGGCGCCGGCCCCCGGGGCCCCGGGAGAGGTGAGCGCCGGCGCAAGGGCAGGTGTGTGGGTGCCTGCAGATGGGGGGCGGGGGCGCCTTCGGGATCCCCCCCTGCACGGTGCTCAGAGCCCCCGGGACCCGGCGGTGGCGTGCGCACTCCTAGGGGCTGGGGAGCATTTCCGTCCCGGGGCAGGGTCCCCTTGCAATCCTCCCGCGCTCGTACCTGCGCCGCGCCCTC